TATACTGCTACATAGAGCTTTTCAGTACTTTCTGAGTAGTTTACAATGTCAGCATTTTGCCCTCAACACTTAGGTCCTCATTTTATCGATTTCAGAAGAATGGAAGGCTGAGTCAACCTTGAGCCCTGTTGAGATTGAGCCTCTGGCTGCTGGCAGAATCAGCCTGTAATATTGTATTCTAAACACTGCACCAGCAGGAATCTCAGACTCAATTTTTTTTTTTTTTTTGGAAGATCTTCTAATAGTTATCATTATAAATAATCAGTAGGGATTAAAAGGTCACTGTTGAATGCATAATGAATTCAATTTATAAAGGAAGCAAAAATGTATACATATCAGTCTGGTTTTATTATGCCTATCAAATAAGAAAACTGAACATGTAAGAAATAAATCTGTAATGGAAAAGAATACAATGATATAAAAATGACAGCAGTGTCTCAATCATATCAGGATCAGGAAGAGGAACTGAGAATTATCTCCATGGGAGTGACTTTGGTTGTAGATAAGATAAATTGTTTCTGGTCTACTGATTTGCCTTAACCACTTTCCATGCTCAAATACTGGAATATATCCTTATTATTCAAACCCATATTTGAGGAGATGTGCTCAAGAAGCAGGAACTACAGATTTCTTCTACTTATATACCAAGTACATACAGACAGAAATGGAAAAATTGTAATCTAAGAGCAAAGAATGGTCAAGAGTATGATTGGATTTTTCTCTCTGTAAATACTGTTTGTGTGATATCTTTGTGTATTCCAATGTAAATTGTACTTCATATGATTTGGTCACTTTTTATTCTGGCTTTATTATGCACTGCTTGATTAGCAGGCTTTGTCTCCATTACATTTTCATTTCCTATATTTCTTGCAAGTCACATCTTTGCATTCAATATTTATTGAAAGGCAAAGGCACAGCAAGCAAAATCAGAGACGATAGACAAGGACTTGCTGGCAATGACAATCCTGATAGGCTATTTCTCCCAAGTAATGATACTATGCTTTACTTCTAAATAAATCAACAAAATTAATAAATCAGCACAACCTATATTAAACTATAAATCAGCAACTATAGAAATATAGGTGCGGACTTCTATGTTAACTTAAGTTTTTACTATACATCAAAAACACTTATCCATAAGCATTCACATCTGATAAGTGGCATTATTATCTCTGCATCTATGACAACTTACCAAAAAGAACACTGCTTGTGATGACAACAAAAAGATGAAGAACCGTCTCCCCCGCTCTTACCCCAGCTGCTGCGCTCTAAAGCAGTATGCCTGTATCTCTCTCTCTTTCTCCCTCTCCCTCTCCAGTGGTGGGTTGCTACCAGTTTGTCCCAGGTTGGGCAAACTGGTAGCAGCAGCGGAGGGAGGCTCCGCCCATCCACCCGGACGCTTCTGCACATGCGCAGAAGTGTCGCTTGTGAGCGCACCCATGAGCGAACTGGTAGCAATGGGTTTTGAAACTCGCCCCTAAGGGACAGGGACGGGGTGGGTTTTAAAACCCATTGCTACCGTTTCACTCGTGGGCGTGCTCACACGCATGCGCAGAAGCATCCAGGTGGGTGGGCGGAGCCTCCCGCCACCACCACTACCAGTTCGCCCGATCCGGGTTGAACCGGTAACAACCCACTACTGCTCTCCCTCCCTCCCTCTCTCCCTCTCTCCCTCCCTCCCTCCCTCTCTCTGTCTCTGTCTCTCTCTCTCCAGCGATTTCTTTGTCATCACTTCTATATTCATGACTTTATAGGAAGGGTATATGATTTTGTATCATCCAAATGTATCTATATACCAGCCACTTTTTAAATAATAAAAGGCACATGGGCAGGATTGTGTTGTGGCTAATCTTCTAGGATTCAAATTTCTTCACAGAGGCAAAATATCAGAGCTGAAATATCTTTTAGAAGCACTGTACAGCAACACTAGAAATGCTGCCTCCTCTCAGGAGATATTTTCTCAGATGGCAACAAGGAGAATCAGTTATATGTGAAGACATGGGGAAAAAAAGGAGGGGGGGAGGAGGCATGTTATTCTAATACAGAAAGAAATAATGATTGGGATGTTGTTTAAATCTTTGGAGGAAACTTGCAGCTAATAGAGTTCATAACCTTTAACTCACAAACAAAGTGTTATTCCAAAGTAGGTAGATGAATTGGTTCAAGATAGAAGGATAAGTAAATCTTAGCTTGTAGAACACTGAGATTTCATGATTCTTAACATCTATTTTTAGGACTCTATGAACCATGTGTAGCTACATTAACTAATAAAATATATAGTAGTATAATAATACTAATATATGTCAATCGTTAATGCCATTATATTATGATAATGTGCGGCATTGCACCATGCGTTTGTGTGAATGGACATATATAAAATTCTAAGTACATGACACAAGCTATGGAGGCGGAAAGGGTGTCACTAGAATAACAGAAAGGTGATTGCATTCAATAGGAACAGGGTGTGGTTAATATGCCAAGGTATGACTGGCCCAGCTTTGATGAATTAGTCAAAACTTGTTGGAAGGTATAAAAGTGTATGGGAATGGTGACACTTGGGGGTCAATACATCGAACAAGCATCTAACCTAGTTTTTCCTAGAACTCAACCTAACCTGGCAAGTCAGATTTTGAGTTACAAAAATGTGCATGAAGTTGTGAATGTGTAAATAAATGTAGCTTTTACTTCCAGATGTAACAATACAAATTGTAAACCTGCATTTGATTCTATGTCCTTTGAATCATTGGATAAAAACAAAATACAAATAGCACTGAAGTACTTTCTGGTCCTCAGCCTGACAACTCTAATATAAATAAATGTGAAATATGGATCATGGTAGTTTTTGCTTAAATAAATGTGAAATATGGATCATAATAATATTATGTCTAATAAATATACTCTTGCTGTTTCAATACATGGAATCTACTGAAGTATTATAAATTAGATGTTTGTACTTTTGATTCCCAGAGCTTGAAATGGCCTCATGAATCATGAAAAACAATCCTAACAGGAAATTTATTAATGTACAAATATTTATAAATATCTGTATTTCCTAGAAAAAATGTGAGAAATAATGATTTCAGAGTTGGATTACTTGCTCAAACATTACATATCAACAATATAATAGAGCAGAAAATTAAAACCACCTTGGAAGAAGGTAGGGACAAAGCACTTCCACAATCTTCCAAAAAAATTACCATGTTGCATCTAGATCGAAATGAGTTAAATTTGACTTTTTACTGTCCTCCAATAGGGCAGCACATTGGGTCAGTGGTTAAAGATGCTGGGCTTGTTGGCTGGAAAGCCAGCAGCAAGGTTTGAGACCTGAGTGCCATGTGATGGGGTGAGTTCCTGTCCTCACCCCAGCTCCTGCCAACCTAGCAGTTTGAAAGCATGTAAATGTAACTACACAAATAGGTACCACTTCAGAATGTAACAGTGCTCTGTGAATTCTTGTAAGGAAGTTGTAATATATTTCTTGGTCTTTATAAAAAAATAATAATGAAGAATATGGGGAAGCAATCAATTCAGTGAAGGAATGATCTCAGTTCAACCTATGGAGTTGCTAGAGGACCAATCAGATGATGGAAAAGTCCATCTGAAGCCCTGGGGAACTGCCTAGGAGATGTACATCCTGACTATAAGGGAGGTTTAGGTGTCACCATGTGTAGCATACCAAAGATCTTGGAACTTAAAAAATTTTATAGCCATAGTGATTATGGAAAAAAAATGAAAATATGTATTTAGAAAACTTATATGGCTTCCCAATTAATTCATGGTGACTCCAGGTGGTTTACAAAGATAAAACCCCTGTACAAAAACCAATAAACCACCACTCTTTGCTGACAACAATCAGTCCAGCCACTTTATGGGCTCTGTATTACTCTGGAATCTATTTTAGGGTCCTCTGTATCACTCTGGGGTCCTCACTGAAGAACCACATCTTCAGGTCTTTGCAAAAGTGTGTCAAAGTGGGGGCCAATCTTATCTCCATGGGAAAAACATAACAAAATTGTTGCACAAAGCAAATGCCTTTCTTGTCTTATTTCTCAATCTTCTTATAATTTTCTCTTGTTGCAGATAACATAACTGTCCTTTTAAAAAGAAGCTGCATGATAAAACATGGAAACAACTGTATATCTTAGAAGTTGTGGCCAGTCACTCATTCATGCATATTGCTGCCAGTGCTATGAATGGGTATTTATGATTATCAGTCTTGTCAGGGATATATTTCAACCCCCCCCTCACCCTCCTCCTAAAATAAGTTGCAAGCAGAGATGGTCAGCTGTAATTTGAACATTGGCTGAATTGTTCACCAGATTATAAGGTGTGCTCTATCATCTACATACACAGAAATCTCTCAATATTCATAAACAAATAATACTTTCCTTATTGAAATTTCATAGTGTGGTTGCAAATTTAATATATTTCACATCTATGAAGTCTTCCATGGCAAAATGCCTTCTGCTCAGCAGAAATATGTACAGTTCCAGGCAACCAGAAAGTCTTGTCAGTCATAGATGCATTTTTTTCTTTCAGAGAGCTCAAATCTTAAATCCTAAAAACTCTGCTTTTTAAATATCGTCTACAGGCCCACTAAATAGGTCCATTATCATGTAATTAATTAGTTGTTCTTGAAGATCTTTTAATAAAAATGATCAAAGGAGGACTCATAGAGTTGATTGTCAATGTTCTAATATATATTGAGAGTAATAGGCACTCACTCATGTTTAGGTTTTTCGATACAGCTGTTAAGTTTCCTGTTTATACAAACTACCAAAGAACAATAATCCCTTTAGTAGGAGTCTTTATGTCTCTTTCTTTCTCTCGTACATAACAGACACATGTACACACGGAGAATTATGTTGGCAATTCCTAACTGGGACCCAGGAGAATGAATTTTTCCTTATCATCAATACAGGCTGAAATAAATTGTTCTTTCATCACTGCTGCATGCAAAGAATAAAAATAAAAAGGAAGTAATAAAAAAGTTGACTAACCTAACCCACCTGAGCTCGTCTCACAGGGATCAATGTCCTCATCATCGCTGGGGCATTCAGCTGAGGCCACCAAGATGTCATCTGTAGTCTGAAAATAAATAAGAGAATCCATTGGATTAATCAAGTGTTCCAAGTCAGTCCTCACCTCTGTCAAGGTTCTGCGGCACAATCATAACTGATCCTAGGAAACTCATAACATTCTGTAAGATCTTTTTTTAAAAAATGGTGATGTAAGATCCTTTTTTATTTGAGAGCTAACAAAAGATTATGTCACAAGTCCACTGAGACATTCAGTGTTGCTCTCTATCTCTCTGACCATGACAACATCTTATTCTTGTTTCTCTCTTCTCTGCACCATCTGTTTACAGCTGGAAACCTTTCACTACTCAACAGCCCTCTGGAAACCTTTTAATCAGCTCTCACTTACATGACTATCAGGTTTGCCCTGACATTATTCTAATTGCTCTTCCTCTCTGACCAGGAATTTGCTGATCGGAGAATATAATAGAATTGACTGCCTCCCCAAATTATTCCTTTTCAGTTCCTTTTTTTTAAGCATTATTATTTTCAATAGGCAATACCCTGAGATCCAAAATATCCCTTAAATATTCCCTAGAACTTTTGACACCTGGAACAGATTTTTTTAGGCTTGCTCTCTGAATGCAATTTTTGATTCTGAGTCAGAAACTAGACTTTGAAAAGAAATCCCCATCTATAATAAAAACACGTGAAATGAAGTCAGTTTGGTGTAATGGTTATTGGTGCTGGATTAGCAACAAGGAGGTGGTGAGTGCTAATCCTCCTTTATTTATAAAAGCTGACTGGATGACTTTGGGTCAGTCAATCTCTCCCAGACCAAACCCATAAATATTACGAAGTAATTGTTTTGGGACAGATAGGAGTTGGGGATATTATGTATGTTTCCTTTAATAATTCTGGATAAAGGTGGGATATAAATCTAATAATACTGGTGGTTTTATGGAATGGCTTTATGGAACAATGTATAAAATATTCCATTCCTAGGTGCTTGCTATCTAATTACATTGCTGAGGAAACAAGCTATGATAGGACAGGGAATAAAGTGAGAGGCAAAAATGACAAAGGAAAACTCTCACCCTTTGCTGTTATCGATACATTACAGCTTAATTGTTTACATACTTCTTTTCAGTAGTAGTAAAAATCCCACTATGTTTTTAACAGCTCATTCCCAATAACTATCCTAAAAGCTATTCGAGATGTCGGTGCAGGTTCAACAGATTCAGATAAGCCTCTTGGCGTGTCTATTTTGTATACACCATAATCATTCAGAAGACTCTTTGCAGTTAGTATGATGAGACTCTAAAAACAATTCAGAGTAGCAACATTTGGAATGCCATCAGGGTTGGCATCAACCTACTCCCTGGAAGGAATCCATCCCCTTCTTCAGGAGGTCTTGCTCGCCTTCTCCAAAAAATGAAGGATTATTATTATTTTATATATTTTTTATTTTTTATTTGATTTATATGCCGCCCTTCTCCAGAGACTCAGGGCGGCTTACAATGCATTAAGCAATAGCCTTCATACTTTTGTATATTTATACAAAGTCAGCTTATTGCCCCCACAAACTGGGTCCTCAATTTACCTACCTTAGAAAGGATGGAAGGCTGAGTCAACCTTGAGCCTGGTGAGATTCGAACTTACAGTAATTGCAGACAGCTGGTGTTAATCACAATGCTATCAGTCTGCTGAGCCACTAGGCCCTATTAATACTCTCCCATATGAAGAATGCATTGGATGGGTTGATTGCACTTGGAGAAAATGGTCCTGGAGACACTTGGGAGCTAAGCCATATATGACTTTATGAGTTAAAAACTGCACTTTGAATTAAATCTGGAAACTTGTTAGAAGCCAACACAGGCCTACAAACAGGTGTTATATGTTCTCTTACTCATGAAATGGCTGTTATGTTTTACATCAGTTCAGTTTCCAAGTGACCTCAAATCCCATGTACAGTGTTTTGCAGCAGTCTAAGCAAGTGGAGATTAGGGCATCAGTTATCCCTCTCAAAGTAGGTCTAAAACTGGCACTCAAGCTGGACAAATGCTCCCAGGGCATATAATAGTAGCCAGGAGTACAGACCTGGCACTTTAGAAGAAATACCACACAATCCAGAATTCATATTGCAGCTGATAAAGAACTCCACTGGACAAAGAGTACATCCTTCATGCAGGGGTAGATTCTACTTACCTTTACTAATGGTTCACATTGCGCTCACACATGCTCGCACTCTTCTGCGCATGCGCAGATCACCTATGATGACATCCGGGTCAATGGGCAGAGCCTCCCGCCAGTTTTACTGCCGGTTCTTGTGAACCGGTCCGAACCGGAGGCAACCCACCACTGCCGTCATGTTAAAGTTCAATTTTAACTTGTTTTGTCTCACTTAAACCTCCATAGCATCCAGGCATTGGGTCAATATTCCACTGTATCTCCAGCCTGGCCTTGACTGGGTAATGTAACATTGGTATCATCAGAATATTGATCTCACATGGTAGCTTCATGTAAACAATAAAGAGGGCAGGGGGACTGAACCTTGTGGGACATCACACAGAGCCCATCCTTTCTCATAAGCATTGACAGGAACTATTCACTGAGAAAAAAAGAAAACTCATTCTAAAATCGTGTTTGACTCCCGAACCTTACAGGCAATTCCCCAAATTATAATGATTGATAATCCTGAAATGCTTGATAATCCCTAACTCATGTCCTAAAGCAGTCCTTCACCAGAATGATCAATGCTGTTTCTATCCCATGCTTAGGTATTGCTTCCAGGGAAAAAAACAGGGAAAATCTTTCTAACTGTCACTACTGGGTTTTATCAACTTGTGTTCAAACAAGTAATCTGAGAGAAATAAACTAATGGCAAAATACTATGACAGTTTTTGTTACTTATTTATCTAGTGTATGGTATATCATACATGGACTAGCAACATATATTTCATATAACATATAACATTTAACCTAGAGTAGTAAAACAAAACAAAATATAAATATTAAAAAATCTATGTTCAAATACCAATGTCTAGGATATCTAACCATTGAAGTGTAGCATCATTTACATTAAAAAAAATAAGATACTGGAGGGTATGCCCTCAGCTTTTTCTTACTGAATAACTAATATATATATATATATATAAAAATATTAGAATGTGTGCTATCTAGACTAGTTCCAAATTCGTAACATATATAGTATGTGCTCTGCATTTTTAAGATTCATAACCTGCAAGATCTTAGAAGTAGAGGGGAGATAAAGAGGTTGCTGAGAATTGTTATTCATAAAATAGTGATAATCCAAGGACTAAATGAACTAACAATCTAATTAAGTACAAGGCTGTTTTATATCACATTTTACCTGTGATATAAAAAGAAGTTGCAGATATATTTGATTCCTGTTCTACCTTTCTAGCCACCACAGAAAAACAAAATGAACACTATCCAACTTCATGATATAGCACAGAGTAGCATTTGCTATGTACTTCAATTTTGTCCTGTTTAATTGGAAGGTAAAAGATGGATGAAAGATCTCTTTGGCAAAAATGAATGCTAGTCATTTTTAGTAGCAACCATGATAAACAGTCATAATTTGCAGGGCAGCTGCTCATTAACAGCAGATTTAAAAGCTCTCCCCTTTCCAGCTCTGTGTAGTAGAATGACCTACAGATTGACGGAATCACAGTGATACATCCATAAATTAAGGTATCTCTTGGCTGAATGGTCAACATTATGTAGTGTTTTTCTTTAATTCAATTAGACTTATTTTTCTTTTAGAAGGGAGTGTTTAGAAGCAGGTGTATCACATTATTTTCCTGTATGGTCTAATATAGACACATTGTTCTAATTTAGATATCACAACACAATACAATTTTGCAGTAATTAAAAATTACATGTTTTTAAATTATTTACAACTAACCTTTCCCTGCAGGAACCCTACATTCAAGAATCCTAGATGTGTTCTGCAGTTGTCAAAAGAACTAATGCAATATTGTGCTGCATCCACAGTGATATAATATTGACATCACAGGAAGCGATAGTTCTATTCTATGCTGTACTGGTCAGACTATACCTGTAATATTGGGCCAGTTTTGGTAGCTACAATATGAGAGAGATATTGAGGTACTAAAAAGAGCATGGAGAAAAGCAAAAGAATGGTGGAAGGCTTGAAGGATAGATCCTATGAAGAACATTTAAAAGAAGTATATATGTTTAGCCTAAAGAAAATAATATTAAAGGGAGTCATGATAGCAATCATCTAATAGGTCAACAGTTATCACATGGAAGAGACTGTGAATTTATTCTTTGTATTCCCTGAGGGTAGGACAAAGCCAGTGAATGGAAGCCTTTACAGAGAGAGATACATGCTGAAGACCATGAGTAACCTTTTGGCCATGAGAATTATTAAGCAGTGGAATAGCCACCTGCCTCATGTAGTTGTGGGTGTTCCATTATTGGTGGTTTTTAAACAAAGTGTGGATAGCTAATCTTTGAGATAATCTGAGGGTTTCTGCCCTTGTTAGAAGAATGGAAGAAAATACTTCCAAGGTCACTTCCTACCCTATGATTCTAAAATATCCGTTCCTCACTAAACATTATATTCAAAAAAATTACATAACAATAACTCATGCCTTTATATTAGTTCGCTTGTGCTATACCACTGCAATGAGCTCCACTTGGGCCTGTGTCTGAAGACCAGCTAGAAACTGTAATTGGTGCAGAAAGCATTGGTCCATTTATTAGCTGGTGCACATTGCCAGGAGCACATTATAGGTACTGATTGGCTTCCTACAGTTTTTCAGGTATAAAGTGCTGGTTTTAATCTGTAAAACCCTATGGGATTTATCACTTATTTACTTACATACCGATTTATTTATTTAACAAGAGTATGTAGCTACCCACTTGCCAACAGAACTCTGGGCAATGAGCTAAAATAAAACTTGCCATGTAAATCAATGAATAGAACTAGGCTGATGTCACTGTAAAAACACCTTACCAACACATCTCACAACTTTTTGCTGGATTCTACTAACATCCTGACTCCAGTGCCTGGGGAAA